AGGGAAAATCGTACTTACAATCTTTAGCCTTGGTGACGACTACTTCAACGCTTACCTCAGCCACTTTGCCAAGCCGATTTGCTGCTCGATAGCTCCGGTAGGCGCCTCTCTCTCTCTCTCTCTCTCTCTCTCTCCCTCTCTCTCTTTTTCTCGCTCTCTCTCAACTACGTCGTGGTCTAATTTTCAGTCCTAATTAGGGATTTTTTTACGGTAAATATTTCCTGGTTCAGATGCTGTACCTGTGCTCGAACAGTCTACGCGCCAAGTTAAAAGTGCAGTTGACGGAAGTGAGGACGAATATCCAGAGCATGGTCAGCAAGACGTCTTCTACTGCAAACAAGCGCCAATCTCTCTCGATGACCAGTCAGACGGGAAGGGCTAGTATATGAGGAGGAAGTCAAGAAAAAGTAATAAAGATAACTGAAATTTAAGTACACAAGAAGGTAATGGTATCGGAACCATAACAGTCATAAATCTGTAAAATTCGACAGTCGTGTAGCGTACGAAATCGGGGTTTGAGGTAAATTTAAAGGGAACGTTCAGGGACGATTTTGGGCAAGAAAGCAAAGACTTTTGCCGCGGCCGGCGGTCGAACCCGGGCCTCCCGATCGGGAGGCACGGTCGCATACCAGTTAGCCACGGGTGCAACCTGGCGAGAGGCCGAGGGGCGCTTCACCCCGGATAGGAGGGGAATTGCCTCCCACTCCACGGGCAGGCCGTGCGCGCCGTCCCTAGGTCCAGAGGGTGTATACGTTGGACAGAGTATACGGCCCCTCCCTGAACGTGCGTGTAAAAAGGTTAGGGGAGTACGGTAGACTATGGGATAGGACATGGGGGGGGACAGATTGTAAATTCTCACCTAAATTGCTAAACCTAAAAAAACTTAAAACTTTTATCTGAAAACCAAGACAAAGTCGACACGCTCGGTTGTTGTATTGTTGTTGTTTTGTCTGTCTGGCCTTTCACACGATGAGGTACACGGATTTCTATTCTCACGGTCCAATTCCGAACCCAAAAAACCAAGCTCAACAACGTCTAGGCAGTCTTGACGCGAAAACGCATTGTTCTTACGTCGAATTTGTACGTGGTGGGACCCCAAAAATAGCGAACTAAACACCTAAAAACATGTGGAATTTGGCGCGCAACGGAATGGGTTCTGGCCGACCTCCAGAACGACTGTGGCAAGGTTCAGCGCCAGCTTTTTCGACCTTTGAGCGTTTTCTGATTTGCTGTTGTTACAGTTGATGCGAATTGTGCGTATTGAGGCTCGAAAATAGCATTCTAAACATCTAAAAACATTCGGAATTGGGTGCGCAACGGAATTGATGGTCTTTGGCCGCCTGCAGCATCTTGGCAACGTTCCAGGACCCGAAAACCCGGGCGCTAATTGCTGTTTTTATTGTTTTACGGTCCAACCCGGCCGTTCCATTCTCGTGCCCACATTAATGGTAATGCCGTTACAACCACCCGCGCGCTATGCGATTAGATCAAAACAGAATGGGGGTCGGGGAAAATCTTAAAATAAGAACATTGTTTTGGCGGCAGGGGCAGTGTTCTTCTTCTAATAATTTTTTCTGATTTATTTTTTCAGTTTTACTGTTTATAATAAAAATATATTAAGGAACAATATGCTTGAATTCACCACCTCGAAACCGTTGGTCGTCCACTACCCGCCTGCCTGCTTCCAATTCGAAGATTGTCCACCGGGTTGGAATACACTTGGAGAGTTCCTGGAAGTTATGGTGGGTTTTTGAGACTATAGGTTTTGCTAGCTCAGGCAGACTAGCAAAGATCATTGTGGAACTTAGGATAGGGCAACCTAGCAGAGATCTTTGAGGAATCTAGGGTTTCATAGCTGCGATCGCTTGATCATAGAGAATTGAGTGTGGGCTAACAAAAGCACTTAATGAAGCCAGGTAAGGCGATCTACCAGATATCTTTGAGGAATTTAGGCAACTAGCAGTTATCGTTAGGTCATAGAAATTGGAAGGTAAGCTAGCAGAGATCTCTTGGGAAGTGATGGTAGGGTTAGCTAGAAGAGAACTTTGAGGAATATAGGGTGAGACTAGAAGCGTTTGTTTAGAACACAGAAATTGAGTGGAACTAGCAGAGATTTTTGAGGATTCCGATAAATGGTCATAGCAAAAGCCTACGCGTTCTTTTTGAATTGCAAATTCTCAGAATTCTCAGCAGCAAGCGAGCAGAAATTCTCTAAATTATTAGTTTGGGCATGCGAGCAGAAAGCCTTTAGGGATCCGGATAGAATTAAACTATTTAAAACCTCAAATCAAGTAATTTTCGAGGCCACCTCCTGGCTAACCCCACAATGCGAGTCAATATTCACGCCAACAGCCGCTTCGGATGTCATTTTCTGCTATAATGCCATCGTCTTAATTATCTATACAACGTTATTAATCCTGATGGTGACCATGAAGCGGCTGAACTTTAATTTCCGCATCTGCGTCGGGTTACTGTATCTATCGGACTCATGCACACTGATAATGACGGCTAGAGGTCAGTTTAACAATTAAATGAGCCGTAAAATTTATAAAACTGACGTAATAATTAGCAGCGTAGCAGATTACGGTATACCATTATGTGTTTAGAGCCAATAATCGGATGTGCCATCGACTATAGAGTCGATTTAAACCTGATCTACCAAGGAGCCGGGGGAGCACTTCAGGATATGCTGGTTAGCACTAATGTTCTTATGGCCTACTTACGGCTGTATGAGATTCGACATTTGCATCAAGAGGTAGAGGCTTTTACATCAGTTAGAGCTTCAATTTTTTAAAACCTAGGTTTTTTGCTAGTTTTTTAAAAAATTACTGTTGCCAAAACTCATCAAATTCGTTACCGTTTCAGCATTTTTAAGTATGCAAGCTTGCCTTAAAAGCAGTTAAAATCTTTTAGACAACCCCCTGGATCCCGAGCGTGGGCGCTGTCATCACGGTGCTAATCGGCATTACGACTTTTATCCTGCATATCACGAAAAAGTTGAGTACAGTTTGGTACGATCCGATTTACCATGATGCTAATTTATGGCCGCTGCAGGTAAGGGGCAGAGAGATAGAGAGAGAAAGAGAGCGAGAGAGAGAGAGAGAGAAAGAGAGAGAGGGATATAGAGAGAGTGAGCGGGAGAGAAATAGCGGAAGGGAAATAGCGGGAGAGAGATACAGACGGAAGTTCAAACGTTCTTTTCAGCACGTTCGCTTCATCTTCCTCGGCTCCTGCATTCTTACTACAGCACTTCTATACCTGGCGTGTGCGATAAAAGTGGCACAGGCAAGAAACTAGACTTGATCAGGCCAATTCCAAATTAATTTTTTTTAAACAATCTTTTTAAACGAACATTTGTAGTTCTTCAATTTTTAGATGTCTTCGCTCTGTACAAAGCGTCAACGTTATATCCTCTTTACGTCATTTGCCGTCTTCGTTACGCAGGTCATCTTCAGCTACGCGAGCTTTTGGCTTGGCAGCAAGATTGGGTACGCAAATCTGAATTTTAATGACTGTTGAATTTTTTAGGATTGGCGACGATCGGTTCAACGCCAACTTGAGCTTTTTTGCGAAGCCGATTTGCTGCTCTGTAGCACCGGTGAGTTAAAGCTAGCTTTAGCTTTCTCTCTCTCTCTTTCTCTCGCTATCTCTCTCTCTCGCTGTCACTCGCTCTCTCCCTCACTCGCTCTCTCCCTCACTCGCTCTCTATCTCTCTATCTCTCTCTCTCAAGCTAAATTGCAACTTTCAGATGCTGTATCTCTGCTCGAGCAGCTTGCGCTCGAGTTTCAAGGATCAGCTGGTGGAGGTGAAGATGAACCTCCAGAACTTGATGTCACTCCCGAGAAGAAGAAGATCTACTGCCCCAACTATCACTTTGAGCCAGATGGTTGGGAGAGCGAGTATTTAATAAAGCTGTTGCGAAAAGTGAGCACGAGATTGAAAGAAACAAAACAGCGAGAGAGGGAAAGTGACAGACGACGAGAGTGAGAGAGAGACAGAGAGAGAGCGAGAGAGCGAGAGAGAGATACAAAGGGAGGCGAGAAAGAGAGGAGAGTGAAGAGAGCGTGAGCGTGAGAGAGCGAGAGAGCGAGAGAGAAGGAGAGAGAGACAAGCTAAGAACTTCTACCGTAACCCATGTGTTTTGATAAAACGACCTAATGACCCAAAACTGATTATCGGCGACCTAATAACCTCCAACCCCAAAAACAATCTATCTATCAAGTCCACTAAGTACGAGACGCTCCCAATCCCGTGCAAAGTTGCTAGTACACTAGACGCCTCCGCACGCGCAGAATGCTATTTTCCTGCGGCCAATTCACGCTGGAATTGGGTGGAAAAATGAGGTTTTTAGTGGATCAGCGGGTCGGCAAATAGGTTGTTGACTTGGTTCGGCGAGCTTTTTTGTTTTTGAGCTTTGCGAGGCGATTCATTTAGGCCGGAATTGGCTTGGGAACTTGTTGGGGGTGGGACAAAAATAGAGGCCGGAAAATGCCCGGGTACCGACAGCCATAATCGGACAGCCAAAAATACCGACAATCAAAATCGTGACAGCCAAAGCCCCCGGTAGGCCAAATTCCGGGGGGGGGGGCAAAATGCCGACATCGAAAATGACGATAGCGAGAATTTCGAAAGCCAGAATAGCAACAGCCGAAATCCCGACAGTCAAGCCCGGGAAGCCAAAAATCCCGATAGCCATAATGCCGACATCCAGAGTCTGGGTCATCAAAATGCCGACAGCAAAATTCCCGACAGGTGGAGTATCACGACACAGAAAACGCCGACAGCCAAAACCCCATAACCAAAATACATGTTGCAAAAATCCCGACAGCATGAATACCGACAGCGGAAATCCCGACATGCAAAGCAAGTGGTACCTCGAAAAACGCGATTTACACAACCGGAAGTGCCGGAAGACACTGATTTACATAGATTTCTGCCTTAAAAACGGCGTTTATCTCTTTTCCCTCATATCACCACCAATTACTCGACCTACTCGACGATGGTCTACAAGAAGGTACGTTTCATTACTATTGACGGGTGTTTAGATGCATATTTGGCTGACAGGTAAATTTTTGTGTTTGTAGAAGGTTCGCACTGACTACACCAAGCAGGACTTCATCAAGATTCTGAAGGCCGAGGGCGAGGAGGGCATCGTCAGGGTGGTGGGTCTGGCTTTCTCTCTCTCTCTCTCTCTCTCTCTCTCTCTCTCTGTCTCTGTCTCTCTCTCTCTCTCTCTCTCTCTCTCTGTCTCTGTCTCTGTCTCTCTCTCGCTCTCTCTTTGTCATCGCTCGCCAAATCCGTATTTTTTCAGGCCCTGACCCTGCTGGGCGAGGCGCGGAAGAAGAAGCGCGGCGACGTGCTGCCCTGCTTCCTGAGGCTGTGCCAGACGGTGCACGCCGAGAAGGAGATGCTCCTCCCGCCGGACGCGATCCACATGTTCGGCCACCTCGTCGGCCTCCAGTTCGAGATCGCCAACAACAACGCGCTGCATCGCATGGAGGTGGGAGGCATGTACTGCTTGAACTCGTCGGTCTAGTTGTTCGAGTTCGCCGTGGGGATGCTGCCGTTGTATGAGGAGCCGTTCGCTCACATTGTGCGCGGCATGCTCGCCATGGACGACGCCGAGCCGTTCACCACCTGCGCGTGGGTTTGGGCTATCTTTCTCTCACTCACTCTCTCTCTCTCTCTCTATCTCTCTATCTCTCTCACTTTCTCTCTTTCTCTCTCGCTCTCACGTTTAGAACACTCGGTAGATGACCAAATTTTCAGCAAAACCCTGCGCCGCCTCCTCTCCCACCTGCCGGTCGTCCTCGACCAGGGCGTCGAGCTGAAGCGCCAATCGTTCTTCAAGCTGATGGTGGCGTTGTGCCGACGTCTGAAGGAGCTCTCCCCAGAAGACATTTGCCACCTCGCCAACTTCCTGGGCCTCCTCCTCGAGCAGATCACCAACCGCGAACACCCCATGGGCATCCAGGTACTGGTTCGGTTCTGGAGTGTTAGCGGGGGGGAGTGTGGCAAGTCAGCAGGTCACCAGGTTGCCAAAAGGTACTTCTTTACTATCGGGGGAGGGGGCATGATTTTTTTCTTGAGATTGAATTTTTCCGATAAAATAAAGCGATTGTTTCTGAATTGTATTTTTGGCTACGGTTTACTTAACCCCCCCAGCCGGAAGTTTTTGGCTATAACTTTTTTATTTTACATTATTGTAGGCTCAAATTTTTAATTCATAAGCATTTCATTTCCATCTTAAATTGAGAAAAAACAATGATATAGATTTTTCGAAATTTTTCGCTTGCGAATTTTATTGAGAGCTTTCGAATTTTATCGCTGAATTTTTATTGAGATGGTTTTTCGCAATTAAAACAATCATTATTATGTTACTACGCATTTTTGGACTTATATGAACAAATTTAGCGCCCCCCCCCCCCCCCGATAATGCGAAAGCACCTAAAAAATAGCTGATACGGAAGTCGTAATCTCATAGCCAGAGGGCAGCTAGCCCGGCGGCTTCTACAGCCCCCTCTTATCCCCCGTTGCCGTCCATCCCTTCGCCGCCCGGTTAGCTCAGTCGGTAGAGCACCAGACTCTTAATCTGGTTGTCGCGGGTTCGAGCCCCGCATTGGGCTTACTTTTTGCTTTTTGGGATTTGTGGGGGTAAATGGGTTCCAGAGATGTTGAAGATGCTTAGAAAGCCGTAATTCACTACTCCAAAAAATTTTTTCCGTTTTTAGCGCCACGATCTGCTGCGCATGCGCGACGTGAACGAGTTCCTCGGCGGCCACCTGCTCCAGCTGTCCCGCCCGCTGCCCAAGTCGTTGACCGCCCTGAAGCAGGACCAGGAAGTCAGGGGTAGGTTGTTACGGTATTTTTGGTGTTTTTTGAATAGACTTACCGAAATTTTATATTTAAAAAATCAGCGATTTCCTGATTTTAGAGTGCCTGATCAAGTACTTCTGCGTGATCCTGCACTCGTTGCCGGCGTGCGGCGACCCGGAAGAGGACGGCGAGCGGCCGACGATCGATGCGGCCCGCCGCGAGATCTTCACCCTGGCCGTGGGACACCTGCGATTTACCGCTTACGCCCTGAAATTCCAGATCTCGCAGTTCGAGCTGAGCGGCTCCGGGCCGTACCCGTGGCGCGGCGTCCCTGATCGTCTGCGTGCTGAAGCCTTGACGCTGCTGCAGTACTTCGTCTTCCCCGTCCCGGCACACTTTACGTTCACCAACGAGAGGTACGGGTCATGCTGCACTAAGTTGCGCTACACCACGCAACGGTGGCTACGGCGCGGTATTTGGGCTACGGTTTACTTTACCCCCCAGCCGGAAGTTTTTGGCTATAACTTTTTTATTTTACATTATTGTAGGCTCAAATCAAAACTCTGAGTATATTTTTCGACGCTCTATCGAATGGCGTTGCGAAAATCCCGACAAAATAAGCGAAAATACCGACAACTTTGAGACCCTTCGGGTGTGGGGGCGGGGGGTAAAGTAAACTCTTACCGGTATTTGCGCTGTGCTACTCAACGTTACACTACGTTATGCTACGTAAGACTACGCTAGGCGAACGCTACACACGATACATTACGCTAGAAATGGCTAAATTACGCTACGCTGCGCTAGGTTACGCTAAGCAGCCGTATATTACGCTACGCTACGTACGCTAAGAACGCTACGCACGTTACGCGACACTACGTTACATGACACTACGTTACATGACACTACACTGCGCCAAGCACTAATTTACGCCACGAAAAGCCATTACGATACGCACGACTATGCTAGACTCCGTGTGCTACGTTCGAAACGACGTCATTCTTCCAGGTTCCTCGGTTGCCTGCAAGCCGGTATGCAGGCCGAAGACGCGGCTGTGCGCCAAACTTCTGTCCGTCTCGCCTCGGGGCTCATCTACTCCGGATGGCTGCACATCCACGCTGAAGACGTCGTGGTATGGGAATGTCTCTATCTCTCTCTCTCGCTCTCTCTCGCTCTCTCTCTCTCTCTCTCTATCTCTACAGATTTTCCTTTAGTCCTGCCTCGCCGAGTCGCCGCTGATGTGGCTGAAGGCCAAGCGACCGAAGCTGCTCGCCGAGCTGTCGATGCTCGTCGGCGGAATTGTGGACGCGATCCCGAACTCGCCGCAGCCGCTGCGCGAGAAGTAGGGGGTCATTGATTTTGGTAACAGGGGCGCATTTTGACGTCTTCGAGCAGCCCAAGCCGGCTTTTTTGAAGCTTGTCGATTAGTACAGCTCCTGATTTCAGGCTGATCGAGGTGGTGAGCCTGTACGCGATGGAGGACCAGCACGGCGAGCTGCTGGCCCTGGTGCAGAACACGGAGGCCGACAAGCTGCTGGAGAAGATTCCGGCTGAAGGGATGACGTCGAATGAGAAGGTGAGAGAGAGAGAGCGAGAGAGAGCGAGGGAGAGAGAGAGAGAAAATGTGGAGAAAAACTTTTTTATAATTTTTTTCAGGTGTACCTGCAGGTGGTCCTGGCCGCCCTCGGCGAGGCGCGCAACAACGAGTCTGAAGCCTGAGGACCCGGCGGCCCAACGCGAAGACCTACCGTACCCTCTCCCACCCTACCGTACCAATTTTCCCTCGTCATCTCTGTGCTCTCCCCTTCTTCCGTGCTCTCTCGCCCTCTCCCCTTCCCTTCCCTTACAGCCCCCCAGTTGCTGTCTTGGGTTCCACAATTTCGTCCTTACAGCCCTCCCGGTTTCGGCACAGTTTTGGAAATCCTGTTTTCGCGTGTGTAGTCATTGGTAGTGTAGCGTAGCGTAGTGTTTTCCACCTCTTCTTGACCATTCGTCACTCTTTTTTAGATGTACTCGTACTAGCTTTGTAGCTTTCCCCCGGGTTGCGGTGTGTTTTTAATAAAGTTAATTTTTACTTGCCGGGCTTGTTCCAATGGAGAACGGGAGTGAGGGAGAGAGGGAGACAAGAGAGATAAAGGAGCTAGAAATACAAAGATACAGAGGTAGGCAGACAGCCAGACAGAGAGATGGTGAGCTAGAGAGAGAGCGAGAGAGAGAGAGAGGCAGAATGAAAAAGAATCTTCGCGTATTCCCAATCGCTACTACCTACGTGTGGCTCACCTGCTCCTACTCGGTCAACAACAAAGTAGCACCTCCGAAAATACCCACTTGGCACGGGGCCGACAGGTTCAGAATGTTCTCCGGAAAACCAATTCCGTCTCGCGTGCCCATTCTGGAATGGTTGAGGTGCGAAGGCCAAACAACACCTTGGCCCGAGGTGACTTGGCAATTCTCACTCACTCTCGCTCTCTCTCGCTCTCACTCACCCGCTCTCTCCTTCGCTCTTTCTCTCTGTCTTTCTCTCTCCGGGCTCTCCTCTCCAACTCACTCGCACACACTTTCTATCGCCCTGCCTTAACTGAATAAGCCCGAGCCACGTGCCGCAATGAATCTATGGATAGCATCGGCCTTCTCCTCGATTTTTCACATAGTTTGGAATTTTCCGAAATTTAAAATCAGATGAACGCTACCGTACCTTATACCGTATATCTTCCGCCGGCCTGTATGAATTTCGAAGATTGCCCTCCTAACCTGGAAGCAGTTTTCGAAATGCTTCGCGTGATGGTAGGTTTTTAGCGAGCCAAAATTGATTGATTTCTAGTGCACCTCATGGCTTCACCCCCAATGCAATCCGCCCTTCACCAGTATGACCTCATCTACTGTCATTTGCCTATATAATTTCTTGGCATTAATTGCTTATACAACGCTGTTAATCTTCATTCTAACGATGAAAAGGCTACGTTTCAATTATCGGATTTGTATAGGCTTGTTGTATATCTCTGATGCTTGTACTTTGGTGATGTCGGCACGAGGTGAGATTTTCTGTAAATCTCTGATCTCAACAGAATTCATTAAATCACATTTTGCCAAGTTTTATATCGCTTGAAAGTGTCGCTTCTAGAATCTTTCATTACGGGGTGTGCCCTGGATTTTCGGGTTGATCTGAATTTGATCTGGCAAGGGGCTGGAGGAGGTCTACAGGACATGCTGGTATGCACGAACTTGCTAATGGCGTATCTACGGTACCATGAAGCGACTTACATTCGTGAAGAGGTACGCATTTTTGCTTCTTTATCTATCCCTTCCCCCCTCTCTCTCTCTCGCTTCCTCTCCCCCTCTCTCACTATCTCTCTGTCTCTCTATGTCTCTCTTACTCTCTCGCTCTCTCTCCCGCTCTCTCTCTCTCTCCTTCCTTCCTAGACTTTGCCTAGTCTTCAAGTAGATTTTTAGACAAATCACTGGATCCCGATCGTCGGTGCCATTATTGCGATCACAATTGGAATTACAACCTTTTTTCTGCATGTCACGCAGCATATCAGTCGGATCTGGTTTACACCAGTCAGTGGATACCAGGAAGAATATCTATGGCCTTTTCAGGTCAGCGATCAGGGTAATCAATATTGATGGAGATTTATTTCCAAGCTCACGTATATCGCTTAGTGAATAGCAATCAAAAGCAGTCCAAATCGTTTTTTTAGACGTTCAGGATTGGCCTGCTCGCATTCGCAATCATAGCAGCGGCTCTTCTATATTTTGCATGTGCGTTGAAGATTGTTTGGGTAAGCGCAAAGCGGCTGGTCGAAACAGCAGTCATCCAGTAGTACGCCCAGCACCTAATATACAGATTTATATCCCGATTTTTTTTCAGATGTCAGAACAACTCGCCCGTCGACAGCGCTTCATCTTTTTCACTTCGATCTCGGTGTTCGTCACGCAAATGATTTTTACCTATGCCAGTTTTTGGTTGGGGCAGAAGATCAAGTAGGTTACCATCAAATTACTACTGGCCAAGCAGCAACAGTTCTTTTACTTTTTTTGCCTTGCGCTTCTAATATTTTTTGTTTCAGTGTCGGCTCGTTAATTTTTAACGCCAACCTCAGCTACTTTGCACGACCGCTCTGCAGTTCTGCAGCTCCGGTAAGTGAGCACCTCTGTCAGTCGCCCCGGTCTCGCTCTCGCTCTCTCTCTCTCTCTCTCTCTCTCTCTCTCTTCTCTCTCTCTCTCTCTCTCGTCTCTCTCTCTCTCTCTCTCTCTCTCTCTCTTTATAGCCTGTTTGCCTCCTTGTTGTCAAAATAGTGGACCGTTTCAGATGCTGTACCTCTGCTCGAGCAGTATGCGAACAGGACTGAAAGATCGTTGGGTGGAGGTTCGACAGAATTTGGGCCGTCTCATCGTCAGTGCACCGAAACAAAATCGACGGATATCTGTCGAACCCGTATCAATTGTCAGCCTCAGGATTTCTTCAGCTCCTCGTGGCAGTTGTCACATGTTTTGAGTTGTAATAAATTTGCGAAAATCGAGCAAAACAAAAGCGAGAGGGAGAGAGTGAGAGAGAGAGAGAGAGAGGAGAGAGAGCGAAAGAGATAGATGGAGATACAGCGGACGACGCAAGTGCTGGACGCATCAAAAACTATAATTAGAAATGGCTACGGTTTACTTTACCCCCAGCCGGAAGTTTTTGGCTATAACTTTTTTATTTTACATTATTGTAGGCTCAAATTAAAACCCTTAGTATATTTTTCGACGCTCGATCGAATGGCGTTGCGAAAATCCCGACAAAATAAGCGAAAATACCGACAACTTTGAGACCCTTCGGCTGTGGGGGGGTAAAGTAAACTCTTTCCTTAGAAATTATCGTACGAAAATTTGCATAAAGTTGCTGCATCGTTCAGAGCGCAAAATTACCCATCCTCTCACCCACAGTTTGGTGGTGCTCTGCGGCTTCAGCTCCAATTCGCCGCCCCGCTGACTCGATGGGATCGCTGGATGAATCCGAGTAAATCTGAAACTTTATGCAAACTAGGTTCCGCTTCACTTCGAGAGCCGAGGATCAGGATTTTGGCTAGATCGGAATTAGGCTACGGTTTACCTTACCCCCCAGCCGGAAGTTTTTGGCTATAACTTTTTTATTTTACACCAGGGTTGAAAAGCCGCTTCGCGACTTTTCAACCCTGGCCCCGTGCTGGACGAATGAAAGCTTACACTTTGCATAATTCCACCCAACTCCCGTTGAAAAAAGTGAAAATTACGCTCTCTGCTCCTTTAAATAGGCTACCGCCACTTCCGGTGTATGCTAATTGCTTCCTAGCAAAGAGGGTCTCGGATTTTTCAACGAAAACTAAAATTTAATGTCGGAAATAGGCGATTTTGGTCAATCCGATATGTGTGCAGCCATCTCCAGACCATTACGCTCCTAATGACGTATCAAAAACGCCCCTAACTACTCTCCTTCTTGAGATACTGCTGGAACACGCTGACGGAAGTTGCATGCAAAGTGGCACACACACACACACACACAAACACTATTTTTTTATATATAGTAGGATTGTTTAAAAGAGAAAATGCGTGGCTATTCGCTTCGCGACTTTACAACCCGGGCCCCGTCTGACCCCATTTTATCCTTCACTTTGCATAATTGTCTTGAATTCAGATGACAAAAAAAAATGAAATACACCCTCTCATGCCCCTTTATATAGTCTTATCCCCATTTCCGGTCTATGCTAATTTTCTTTAACAAAGAGGTTTTTACAAAAGTTTAAATTGAATGTCGAAAACAGCTGTTTTTGCAAAATTTGATGTGTGTGCAGTCATCTCAAGACCATTACGCACCTAATGACGTATCATACGTACTTGAAAATTCATCCCCCATCGAGATATCCTCCGGACAGCCACACGGAAGTGGATGCAAAGCGGCACACACACACACACAAACACTATTTTTTTATATAGTAGGATTATTGTAGGCTCAAATTAAAATTCTTAGTATATTTTTCGACGCTCTATCGAATGGCGTTGCAAAAATCCCGACAAAATAAGCGAAAATACCGACAACTTTGAGACCCTTCGGCTGTGGGGGAGTAAAGTAAACTCTTACACGGAATTACAAGTCCTACCTATATAATTTTGGGTGTATCTGTGTGTGTGTGTGTGTGTGTGTGTGTGTGTGTGTGTGTGTGTGTGTGTGTGTGTGTGTGTGTGTGTGTGTGTGTGTGTGTGTGTGTGTGTGTGTGTGTGTGTGTGTGTGTGTGTGTGTGTGTGTGTGTGTGTGTGTGTGTGTGTGTGTGTGTGTGTGTGTGTGTGTGTGTGTGTGTGTGTGTGTGTGTGTGTGTGTGTGTGTGTGTGTGTGTGTGTGTGTGTGTGTGTGTGTGTGTGTGTGTGTGTGTGTGTGTGTGTGTGTGTGTGTGTGTGTGTGTGTGTGTGTGTGTGTGTGTGTGTGTGTGTGTGTGTGTGTGTGTTATGTGTGTGTGTGTGTGTGTGTGTGTGTGTGTGTGTGTGTGTGTGTGTGTGTGTGTGTGTGTGTGTGTGTGTGTGTGTGTGTGTGTGTGTGTGTGTGTGTGTGTGTGTGTGTGTGTGTGTGTGTGTGTGTGTGTGTGTGTGTGTGTGTGTGTGTGTGTGTGTGTGTGTGTGTGTGTGTGTGTGTGTGTGGATGTCACTCGAGGCCTGATTGAGGGCCTCAGTGGCCAAACGTCTAATTCCTCCGTTTCCCGGGGGAATCG